AATGTAACTTTTTTAATATCAACTAACTGAATATAGAATTATGTCAGAGCGACGCTATCGTTTGTGATACGCGTAGGAAGGAAGCGAGATTTATCAACGGAAACTCGACTCAAAATTTTATAACAATTAGCATATACTTGAGGCTATGATTAATGTTAACACTAAAAAGCACATCAGTCAAATCACTACGATACTACTAGAACTAGGAGTTTTTTTATATCAACTTCTACCGACTCTTGGTCCGTACTCGTTTTTGCAAAGTTTGTTTTTCTTTTCTTTTTTTTTGTTGTAACTTATAACACTAGTGAGTTCCTTTTTTTTTAATGCACATTTTTTTTCCTAAGTATAATTATACTACTACAAACAAGAGTTAGAGTTCGAACTAGTAGTTACTTCTAGTGAATTTAGTGAAGATAAAAGAAAAGACAAACATACAACTAGAAACTATATATAATTAAAAAAGAAAGTTCAACGTAATTTTATTTTATGGAAAAATTTTAGTAAATTTTTATCAGAATTTTAGTTATTCTTGCATTTAAATTATTCAAGGAAGCAGTCGTTTTGTGCTCGCTTTAACTGTCTCCATCGTATCGGAATGTTATAATGAAATTACAAGAGCAATATAAACGCAACAGGTTGCTACCGTGGAAGTTAATGGTGTAGTTTGGACCAGTCAGTAGTCGGGTATAGTCCGACAAATTTTAGACCGGTGAGATACTGTTATTGCGATTTGATGACACAATAATCCGATAAAGAACCAAATACATTCTCAAACAAGGGATGTTAAACTATCGTAATTTATTTTCACTTACGGCTATCGGATTAGATAATTTTGTCGGACATTATCGCCTGCTCGTTGGACCGAGAGACAACCTGTTCAGAAACTAGAGTTCATGAATGCGTTTTAAAACCGTGATCGACATGAAAGCGTGACAGTTGCGTGTACTGATTTCTGAACGTTGCATAAACATGGCGGCGTAATAGTGACAGAAAGGTTATTTTTGATGTTCAAATGTTATTTAAGTGTCAAATTAGTCGAATCTCCAACTACCCGTTCAATTTAGAACATATTTTGAGTTACATAAGTATGTAGCCGACATGTATAAGTCATTTAGTGTAGGGTTTTTCAAATGCAATCTTCGATTAGACAGTTTATCGATTTCAAGTAGCATTATGATAATGCTAACGGGATTCCAGCTGACAATCGGAATGCCTCAAAGCGTGCGTCAAATCAACATTGTACGTAGCGCCATTCTCCATTCCAGCCCAGTCACGTGCGAATACGTAAATAAATCGTATTGTAGGGACGCAACTCGATTCATTGAATATAAATCGATTTAAATTCGAAACGCTTACGACTTTTTCTTACAATTAATCGTTTACAAATAATTTTACGACGTGTGTCTCTTTTGTTTATTACAGTGTTACGACGAATTTTTTTAAGTATAAATTATTCATGTGTAATAAGTTCAGGAAAATCTTATATTATAACTAAAGGAAAATTTATTTTTCCTTAAGTTTCAGACACAGGTTTTTTTACTTAGAGAAGCATTTTAACATGTCTGTTGAAACTAGTTGTAACTTACGCATGTAACAATCTTCAACAAAGTGTAGTTATTTGTTATATTAAACATACTTATAATATTGTTATCTACAATATAAACCAATAAGTAATTGACGTGATAAACACATTACATAATAGAAACAAGTCGGAAAGTAGGCGCGGTACCGTCAGATAATGTTGTTGACAAGCGACAGTTGCCGCGGATTACCGCTATCAGAAGATGTAAACGAAATCGTACTAGTATTGGGATAAAAGCATGCGGCTTATTTCCCGGTAGTGACCGCTAGATACACTCAACGCCAAAAGTATTGCCATATTTTATATTGACTTACAAATTTAATTAGGAGTCATGAAGATATTGAAAATTACTTAAATGAATTGCATATTACAGTGGATTTTCACTAATGATTGATGGTTGTATCATAATTTGTCCGAAAATACAGGATAAACCTAAATGAATATCAGTTCATGCCTGCTTAGTCGGGGACACTGCCGCGCCCCAAGATAAAAGTATCTGAGTGAAATGAACTCGTGTGTCGCAAGGAATGTAATTGCTCAATTGCCGTTGCTACGGTTACCCGCGTAGATAACACGGGTGTTACCAGTTACAAACAACTGTGTGCATTTTTATACATTTACAGGTTTGAGGAGAACATCAAACAGGCAAGAGTATTATGTAACAAAAATGGCCATAAATCTACATCTACAAGCTAAGATGAAACGTAATTTTCATAAAGAAATAGAATAAACATTATCAAACATTTACAAGAGTCGTGTCATGAAAGGCTATATTTTTTTATTTATTTATAGTGGAAGTAGTAAAATATTATTAGGGAGATGTGTAATTGGAAAGTGGCAACACTGTTATATAAAACACATGTTTGTACTCAGTGGCCCAGTTCCGCTGACATTGCGCCAATTGTTAACGGTATATTATATATTTACTATTACGATAAAAACAGCTATTGCGTTAGTCAAATCGTCATTATCAGTACCATCTAATTTTATATACAAGCCTTATTCTATCAACATCATAAATTGCTTAAATACTGAATACAGAGCGTAAATATAAAGGGCTTTTTAAAAATGGAGCCGGCGTAGACATTTTAACAAGCTCTTGCTCTTTATTCGAGAAAACTTTCTAGTAATTTTTCTCATTCAACGTCTTTGTTTAATTTTTAAATTCACAGATAGTACTTTGAAAGAGGCATGAAAGACGGTATTAATATGCAGTAATTTAGTACCGCCTTAATAATGTCTTTATGTTTTAACACAAACAAATTAACACGATCTGTTGATAATCAAGCCACTTTCTTGGGTCTATTTAATTTGGGTCTACATTTGCCGCGGGCACAACAGGTTAGCCGTGCTCTAGTTTTCCCGGTATTTCATATAAAAACCCGCGTTGCTTGACCGTTGCTGTAAAAGCCTGTCTTATGCAACGGAAACAAAGCCTGCTTTACTTGTAATCCGATTGTGGCATGTAAGGCGTTGCTGAGACACTGCAACTCAATAAGCAACTTTATGTTCATTAATTTTAGACTGTGATTTCCTTGATTGGTGTTGATATTAGCCATGTATCGGAATATTTTCACATTCTCTGTCCGTGTGTACGTGCTGCGTTCGGGCCGTGAGAAGCGAGTCGTGCATACCGGCACGCCTAATATGTTCAAAATGTACGATTTTCCAAACGCACTCGTATAACAGAAGCCTTATTATTATTCTTTAAGTGCTTTTTAATTGGAATAATCATAAATGACTAGGGTTGCCACAAATTTAGTGATTGTGAAATAATTTGTTTTTTTCTATTTTCTTCATTCTTCTACTCAATTCATTTGTTTCATACATGTGATATATACGAGTATAGTAATAGATAACGATTTAAATTGAATTTTTCAAATAGTTTTTAAATTAAAAGTTGCACTCAAACATCGTGTGTTATAAAAAAATCTAAGCACTTCACTATAATCTAATACGTTACTGAAATATTATTACTAAATGATCATACAATGCATAGGAAAGTCTTTAACTGATGATACTCATGGTTAACCGAGTTCTTAGTGATTCCATAACGATTACGTCGCCGTTAACATTCCGTCCGCTCGTACTGATTACAATCGGACCTCATTATTGTTGTCACAATTAACAGCGAATAATTAACGATTAAAAGCGAACAACACTATACGAATATTTATATTAATCTGTAAAGTAAAATAAGGTTAACATGAAGTCTTATACGACTTAAATTTTTATTTAATTTTAATAAATCTGAAATTATAAGGCAACCTTCATAAGTTAAGATTAATATGTATGCTTGGGAAATACGATTATATAATTATGACTAAAACTGGTTAATTCGAATTTTACATTTAATCATAAAGATCCTGTAGCTCTGTGGTTCAACACCTAAGTCAATAAATAAAAAAGTATATCTGCAGTGGAAACCCACAGTTAGATTAACTGTTTGCTAGTAAGGTCAAGATTACGCAGACAATCTAGCTTATTGCTTAAATTGAAACTTCCCATAATGCTATCTCTTTCTGACACAACGGGACGTCAGCCGAGGTCCCGTGTCCCGCGCATCTATACACCGCACACGTGACTTTTCAACTCTTTATTACGCAGGGTTGTAGAAAATTACAAATTTAAAACACATACGACGTACATTAATATATTGCAATATTGTTTTAACTAAGTGGCATTTAAAATGAAAAAAAAAATACTCAATGCATTGTAAATATTACTAAAAAATTAAATATTTTTTTGAATTTCACATTAGGAGAACTAAAAAGCATTGGAGTTATATTAATCGCGGTAGTTAAAAGTAAATCAACTACAATCTAATTTTGGACAACCCTATCTTGAGTAAGAGTACAATGGATGTTTTAACATAGACTAACTGTCAGCTATATTGTTTGACCCCACGCCACTTTGAAGGCACCAGTTTAAAAAAAAGATGTTTTATTATTGTTAACAATGGAACATATTCATTTGCAATCATTAAAAATAAATGAAGACGTTTAACAATGTTGACAGTTTGTTATTTACAAATATAACATACTATTGAAATTATGTGTAACTTTTTTTCAATAAGGTGACTAACGATCAAACGAATACCTGAATTCGCAGATATAAAGTAACGACTGCTGTCTATAGATATTCGCAATTGCAAAAGCATGCCTACCTTTTTTGTAAAGGCGATCGCACAGAAAGAGATTCCCATGTCATATAAGAAAAGTCTAGGGAAAGAGATTAAAATTAGGTCTTCGGCACACTCATTAGACGAAACGCGGTATTACATCGCCTTTACGTCTTCTGTGTGGTTTATACCAAATGATCAGAATTAATATTTTAAATTGTTAGTTTGATATAAACAAAAATTTACTTACGGAGATCTACTACGATACTGATTAGAATTCAAAGGATTCTGACTCACTGGACTTACCTGCAAAAACAAAATGACTCATTAATATTGACCGCATTTATTTCATTGATTGAAAAGATGTACATTTATTGGTTGTATTTAACATTTCATAATTACACAACTATCGAAATGAAAGTAAACTTCGAAAAAATTGAGGGAAAGATGTTAGGGCCTGTCCCACCACTATCTGATAGGCTCAGATAGCTTAAAAGTGACGTCACTGTCAAATAAGAGAACAAAAGCCGCAATTTTCATCACATATTTTATACGTTCGATTGTTATCAGACAATTTAAAATTTGGTGGGACGGGCCCTTAAGGTAAACAACCACAATAGGTAGCTCGTGTGAAAAATCTAAAGTACTTTTTACTGATAATCTTTATAAAGGAAAAGAAATTACACAAAAAGATGCTATTAGTTTTTACCAAAGATAAAAAACTAATAAATGATAGAAAATTTCCTGCGACGCTTATCGTAATCTAGTATCCAATAGATAGACGATATCCCTAGAATGTTATGATAAAGGAATGCTAAGAATGTTGTACCAAGACACCAGCAGTTGCTGCGAATCTGTTCTTTATGAGGCAACTTTCACTGATCTTTTATCACGGTGCCATTGTGAAGGACAATAGATTCTCACTTTCACAAGCCCTCTGATCGCCTGGTACTTGATTGATTTACAGACAATAAATAACAGTACATTGTTGGCAGAATTCCAAAGCGTTTCATATAATGGATGTCCGTTAGTTTATTTAAAAGATAAAACTGCTTTTTAAAAAGGTGTATTTTGAAGTAATGTATTCAACAAAATTAGATATGATCGTTATTTTAAAATTATTGTATTAATTATTTTAGAGTTGCAAGTTCCAAAAATGTTTTGTTTTTTATATCTTTTTTTTTTCTAGAACAAACATCAATCAAAAATGATACTGTCGTTATATAACCATCATCGGATACGTGCGCGGATTTAATCGATATGCTATTATTAAGTCTGTAATTATTTTATCAAATTAATGCAAATCTTTTGTAAACATCTCTTATCAGTTACAAGCGCACGTGTGAATTTAAAAAAAAACGTAACCGCAATAACTATGCGTTGATTTTATTTAATCTGTGATAACATGTGATCATTCGATTCCATCTTAATTAAAAAAATATACTCACTAGTGAATTGAACGACTTTGAACATTTAAAACCTTTTTTCAGCAGATACAAATTCTTTAATCTTATATGATTGACTTGCCTTAACATCCGTATGAAAGGACGCGACTCTTACTTAACCTAAAAATAGACTTGGTTGCCGACGCTATCATTGCGCAAGCAGGGGCGGGGGTCCGGACAAATTGCTCCTACCACTTGTATCTGACATTTAAAGAACCAGAATGCTGTCGACCTTACTTATAAAGTTCTTACAAGATTGTTAAACCTTCTATAAGTTACCTAAGTTAATTATGTTATCCCAATCAAAGTATTTTACTCAAAAATTTAAATTAGACTTTTTTTAGAATAAAATCATTTGAGCTATGTTTTGATACTGAGACTCTGTATATTGTCGTTTTAAACTCATGGGTGGCTTTACAATATGAAGGATATTATTGGATAGCTATGGATACCTATAATACTTCTTGGTCTACCCCTTTAGTATACGACTGTGAGTATAAGAGTATAGCGTGCAAATGCAATCAACCGTCTAAAAACTGCGTGCATCTGTTAGAGACGCTAACCAACTGTCTTAAAACAGGATATCAGCTTAATTACCCTATACTTTCATTACAAACACCTCTCCCAGTTACTTTTCGACTTTCAAATCTGTCGTTTTATCATGCAAGATGTCATTTACTTCATTTTAGGCTTTATCTTTGTCTCTATCCGTCTATCTTGTATGTTCACGACTGCAGTAATGTTTACCACGCTATTTTTCCCTCTTCATTGCTATTGGTATACTCCATACGTACTCTACTTATTAATAGAAACTGTAAGTACGATAATAACCAAAATTAACTGCACATTTGTTAATTATTTTCGTTAAATACAAGGAAAATAATAAAAAACAAAACCGACTTCCAAACAAAATACACTAAAAACGAAACATTCTCAAAAAAACAATACGCTAAAAAGTAACAAAATAATTCCTTAAAAATAGTAAACCTCCCTTATTGTAGCTATTATGTCTATATTGTACAATTATTATTGCTTTGTTATCGGTGTCAGCCGACGTATGCAGTGACATTTCTACGTAAGGCTTTCTACATTTTTACCATAATAATTGACAATCGAACGTATAGTAACGTTTAAGTAATGAATCTAAACTGACTGATTAACTGAGAATTAAATTCTGTATCAAGTAAATAGAATCACTGACATCAACTTCTGTCTTCCCATTGCTGGACATATGCCAAACTTAACAATGGATAAAAATTATTTAAGGAAAATTAACTTAAAATATGGCCATTGAATCAATACTATGTATTTTTTCCTGATATATATAATAATTTATAAATAGTGCAATATGTTATCAAGGATTTTATGACGTAAAAAATATTAATAAATAATAACTGGTTACAATAATTAACAAAAAAATAACGTCGCGTTCATTAAAAGTCCTTCTACTGTGACGAATGAAATGAGTAGTATTATTCAATTATTAACTTTAAATCAATTCGGAAACAATTTTCGGCAATGGAAACCCACGGCAATCTTTGTATGTATCTTAGTTTTTTTTCTATCAAAAATCTTAAGATATATTGTGATAATTCTAACCCGCTGTATAGTCAACCCCGGCTGGGCGCAGCCAGTTGGCCTTCGTACCAGCCCGCACCACCGGCGACATACTTCGCTATACTCTCTCCACACATTGCAATACACTGCAATATGTGTTACCGTAAAACTACAAATACCGTCACTTTATATTTTAACTAAAGATGTAAAATAACAGCCAAATGTCAGTAACATGTTCAGATTCTTATTTTAATGTTACTTTTTCGTAAGTGGTCACTAGTTTGTCGGGAACTCAACTTTGATATTAAGATAAGATGGGTTTAATTAAGTTGTTAAGTCATTAGTATTTGAAACCGACGAAGTAGAATTAAAAAAATTAATACTCAAAATTATAGTTCATCGGAATCTATGCATCGTTTTTTAATTAGTAAATATAGCTAAGGACGTTTATTTCCTATCCATTTCACTGAAATTTCACTCTATGCGAAATAGAATTTGTAAAATATTCATCATTTAACATTTTAAATGCATTTTCATAACACATCAGTCAGTCGGAACGTGAAAATTGGCAAAAAATGATTATTCAGTGAACGATTGCATTTTTTTAACCCAGTTTAGAGGCTTGCAACACCAAGCTGTTTCTATGTCAGCGAACTATAATAAATCAGACGGAAATTACGCAATTCAGTTGACAAACTGGTGCATCTTATTAGAGGAGATGCGTGCTTTTTAATACAGCTGCATATGTATGCAAAAATTTTTTTTTGCTATCACGAAATTCTATCATCATAGATCTTAAATCGTTTATAATAATCTAAGACCTAATTTTTAAACTGACCGAGTTTTTACGTAGCAAGATTTGGATCTTGTTGAATAGGGAAATTTATTTGACCTAAATCTAAAGTCTCATAATCAAAACACTTTAACGATTTTTAATCTTACGGGATAGAGCAGACAACATAAATAACGTTATTAAACGATATAATGTACTAAATATGGGACGATCTTATTTATCATAAAACGAGTAGTTAATAAATTTAGATTTATCGAAATTTCCGTAACAAGTTTTTTTTATGATTACAGATTATTAAAACAATGTCACAGACATTTACAGTGGTAGTGCCCGCTTTAACTTCTTAACAAGAATGGGCCAAGACGCCCGGTGTAATATCACGACCATACACAAGACAGACGTGAAGTGGCCTAATTTAAGTCCCTTTCTCTTTACCTCCCTTTTCTTATAAGGAGAGTATTGGAAGGGGAAGTGGATTTGACGGTGGAGGATATGCATAGGAAGGGGAAGTGTTCTCTTTATGTGCGTCGCGTCTTCTGTCGGATAAGGGTAGGCAAAGCAACTGCAATTGCGGATGTGTATGGACAGGCGGTCGCTTTCCATATCGGTGGATTCAGGTGGCCGGTTGCTCGTTTGTCATCTTATATTATAAAAAAAAGAGACAAAGTACTACGTCTATGGATTTTCCCGTGTGGGTAATTTTCTAAAGTTTATATTTAATTTGCGATTAAATGCAATAACAATCTTAATTGGCACTGCACGTTTTTACTCATGGAATCATAAGAAAAAAAAACAAGTTCTGTAATTGACTTTGATAGGAACCATCAAGGGCGTTAATATGATAAATATTATTTCGTAAATAACCTTTCCTTTCCGTACGAACAACTGTCAATTTATATTGACTGGATTGCGAAAGTCAACTCGATAGAAAAAAAAGCAAAGTCCAATGATGTAATCAGACACGGCCACTGCTAAGTTTTCATTGATGATTAAATGTGGTTAAATGGGCGTTTTTTTCTAATAGATACTTCCAACAGAGAATCAAGTCAAGATCTTTTGAATGTTATAAACTATTATATTTGCTTTATTCTCTTGGAATTGTCAATTGGTGTACCATAATTATTTATTTAAATTAGAATTGACGAGTAAATCTCAGTGCAAAAGTGAATATTTTAAAAACAAACAAAAATATCAGTACCTACATATTAATTGCGTGAAGGTAAAAGCACCGTAGAGGGAGATTGTTTATCCGAAATTGGTATAAATGTGAACGTGTACAGGTTTCTGATGTCTTCTCACAGCTCGATATTAAGATCAACTTTACCTAATATGAGACAGACACTTAAGGTCTGCAAGTGCAGCCCATTGCCGTGTGAATGACGAGGTCTGTACAAAACGACATTCAAAATAAATCAATTTATGTTTAAAATACAAACCAATAGCCAATTCTTTAATCCTTGTCCAAACATGGAACTAGGACAAGGAAGGCCGACACCAAATAACTGGGAAAA